ATTTCGTTTTATGAAGGCCATCACCCTGTGGAGGTCACGGGCCCCATGCTAAATCCGGCTCTGATATGTAGTGTTAGTTATATAGGGAATCCGTAATAGGTATTTCCAGACATAAAATTTTATGTAAATTTCTGCAGATAACTCGCTATAAGGTAAAGAAGTTGGTAATAAGAATATGTTTATATTGAAGGTTACATTAAGTAGTAAGGTAGGTATAATATGATTCATTAAAATTTCTGAATTAAATAAACAAATATTTTTATTTAACCGGATGCTAGTTTAAAATTACCAATATTTTTAAAACAAACAGTTTTTTTGTAATTAATAACTGCAATAAAGTTGGAAAAGTAATTATTTCAAGAATTAAGAAATTCCTGATTTATTGTTTTTGTGTATTTTTTCATCTTGATAATAACTTTTTTTTGGTTAAAATAATAGAGTAATATTTAACTGGGTAAACAGGGTAAACCAATACTAAATTAAATAAACTTAAATAAAACGCTAGTTAATTTTAAGACTGTTTCATTAATTTTACTTTTTAATTTTATAATTATTATCCTAATTTGATTTTATTCCTTTAAATGCTATTTTAAAACATTTTTTATTGGAAATATTTTAATGAGAAAATATAAAAAAACAGATGTCCCACTAATACTCCGGGTTTCGGGTTTTCACGCAAAATCTACGGGAAAAAAACTGATGAGTAGTGGTAGTGGTGGAGAGTTATAAGGGTTTAAATTTTTTTCTGTTTTAATATTTTAAGATTTATTATTATTATTAATATTATTATTATTATAATTATTATTTTAAAACGTTTAAAAATTATTTTCTATCGTCCTATAAAGGGTGTCCCGAAGATTGAAGCGTGGTTATTCAAAAGCGTATACAGGGTATACAGGGAGTCATGTAACTTGAAACTTTGAAATATCTCAGTTAGTATACTATATATATGCATATATGCATTTTACGAAATAATGTTTAAAATAAAAGTTAAATGATTCGAGGGGGGAAATCAATCAGTACTAAAATTGGTCCTCATACTGTCCTCCTTATAGGGGAAACAGGGGGTAACTTTAAAATTTCCAACGGAACACCCTATTTTTTATTGCAGATTCGGATCATTCGACTAAAAGTAGGTAGATTTTGTCTAAAACATTTTTTCATATTTGTAATACACTCACAGGCAAAATAATACATATACATTTTAAAAATAAGAGGATACCTCAAAATTAACATTAATTTACAAAAAACAATTTGATAGCTTTTGAAAGCCGTATATGACATGTTGAAGTAAGAGATGATTCAACAAAACTGTCACTGTCATCCTTCATAGCCCATGGATGGACCATAGTAACCTTAATTCTTTGTACAGAAAAAATATTGGAAATTGCAATGTTTTTTTAAAAAATCCATATTTTCGACAAAAATAAATATATTGAGGTGAACCAAAAACAAAACTGTTAAAAATAGATGTGACTTGATAATTAAAACTTAATTTAGAACAATATACGGTTTAGCCACTCTACAGAGTGTCTTAAACTTATGATAAAATACTTATTTTTGTTTAAACCTGTATATTAAAAACGTACCTCTATTTTTTTGTAACTTTTTAAAATGTGAGCAATTCTCCATTAATTTATCTACAATATTCTTCAATATTCGTTTAAATTCGACATCAAATAAAAAAGTTATTTGCGATTGAAATTCATCCAAAATTTGTGTGGATCGATTATTTTGCCTGTGAGTGTATATGGCGCTGTAATGAAAAAAAAATCAATTTTGTTCGATTTTTCTTCTGTATACGATTCTGCAATAATTTTTCTATAAAAATATCACTTTTTTTGGTAATACTTATCTTATTAAATTAAATCTGATTTTTTTATGGTACCCACGATTTTTTAACTAATATTTAAGTTTCCTTTGGTTTAAGTTTTATACATTAGTTCATTCGGTGAAAATAATCAATTGCACACCTTGGTCACTTTTTACCTGCTAGCATTAAATCCTTTAATTTAAAGGAATATTGTACTATTTTTATAAAAATACCTCATTAAAAAAACATTATTTTGTTAATTAATTAATTTAATCCTAATTGAGGTATAAAAAATGGTATTTAGTTATAAATAATAACTATTATTGAGGTATAAAGCAACTATTTATAGTTTAACAATATTTAATCAATTTAGTTCGAAGATTAATTTGAAAACAAAAAGACATCCTTTCGTTAAGCAGTTATTCATAATGGATCGAAAAAAAGAGTTCGTCGAGCAACAGTCACAGGTGGAAATAATAAAATTAATGTATTAGCGGCAACGGCCGCTAATTCTCATGCAAGCACACGAGAATTATCTAGAGATTTGGGAATATCCCATAGCAGTGTTAGCAGAATATTAAAACGAAATTCGAATTAATAAATGCATTGAAGTCGAAGGCCACCATTTTGAGCACAAAATAAAAAATAAATTAATAAATTTAAAAAGTATTTTATTCAAAAATTATTGGAGAATCGTATACAGAAGAAAAATCGAACAAAATGTTTTTTTTTTATTAAAGCGCCATCTATTAAAAATATGAAAAAATGTTTTAGACAAAATCTTCTATTTTTAGTCGAATGATCCGAATCTGCAATAAAAAATAGGGTGTTTCGTTGAAAATTTTAAAGCAAATACTAATGCATTACTTAATATTGTTTAATACATTTGTGCTTTGCAAGGTAGCGGCATACTGTTAGTGCGGGACACCCTGTATATTATTAAATAATTATAATTAATTGTAATAATTTTATTGTAATATATAATTTTTTCGAGGTTTAATATTATTATATTATTAGTAGGTACCTAACATAAAATTTTATTTACAACAGGTAGGTGTGTATACAGAGTGGTCCTTTAATAATTTTAGAATCAGTAAAAAACGTTAATAGTTATTTACGTGGCAAGCTTTGTAAATTAATCTTTACAGGCTAGCTGAAAGTTTGTGGGGTATGCGACGCAGGAACAAGGTGTTGAAGTTGCATATATTTTTTTGAAAAAAATTAATTTCCTTCTTTTAAACTAAAAAACATGGTATTAAAAATTTGGTGCGTATTGTTTTTATATTATAAAACCTATTATACTGTAATAGTACCTATATTTAGGTACTTAGGCATTAGTTTTTATACTACAAGCAGTGGTGTCACTACGCGGGTGATATCTCTTTAGAGAAAAAACGTTAAAATAGTATTAATTGCCTCAATAAACTTGTTTACATAATATTATTTTATTGAGATTTTATACGTAAGTATTGTTTTTTATTAGGTTACATAGTTAGGCATTAAATTCGTTTTCATCAGTGGCGACTGGTGGATTTTGGATATATATATCATACAGTGTGACCCATTTGTTTGCGACTCATCCCTGTAAAATCTTTATTTATTGTGCGATTTTAACCGGATTTGTTTTAAACTGTAGATCTTGATAAACTGTATTTTTGGAGCAAAAGACGCCATATTAATACAAAATACAAGGCCTACTATGTCAGTTTTTAAGAGTAAATTTTTAAGAATTTATATTAGCGATTTTTTTAAACAAAATCTAAGCACAACACTGGATTCACTACCCCTCAAAAGTACCCTAAACTAATTTTTATTAAAAAATTTTAAGAAAAAAAATGCAGAATAATAACTACAAAAATTTATTTTGTCAAGTTATCCATGGAGGTACTCCAATGATCTATGAAAAAATGTTCACATATTTAAAATAAATATTCGATTTACGAAAAAAAGTTTTTTCGTAAAATGTATCGTTTCAGAGTAAATTGCAATTCACTGCAATTTTTTTTAAAATATTTTCCAAATGCTGTTTGATTGCTATAAATTACAAAGAATAAATTTAATAATTTAAATTTTACATTTTACGTTTGTTTTTAATCAATTGTTAATTTTGGAAATGTAAAACAATGATTATATCATTTCGTACGTTTTATTATCTAAAAAGACAAAACTAGACTGCATATGGAAAATATAATAAAATTTCATTACGGTGAATTGGAATTGTATTGTGTATTTTTTTCGTAAACCAATTGCTTATTTTAAAAATATATTTTTTTAGATTATATTCTCTAAAAAGAATATTATCACCCCCATAGTGACACCACTGCTTGTGGTATAAAAACTAATTTAATGCCCATGGTTTTTAAATAAAAAACAATGCGCACCAAAATTTAAAAAAAAAAAAAGTTTTTTAGTTTGGGATGAATTAATTTTTTTCAAAAAAATATATGGAATTTTAACACATTTTTGAAACTTTTGAGTTTTAATATTATTTAATTTAACGTTTTCAATAATTCTTAAATTATAAATGGTTCTTTTTGGACCACCCCAGGGGCGGATCTAGAATGTGTCATTGGGGGGGCGGAGTTGAAAATTTTTGTAAATAATAAGAAAGTTGAAATTAAAGTTATTCCATTTTTTTATTATTTTCTATATTAATTTAAAAAGTTATGTTCAATTTCAACTTGATAACTTACTTCCGGGGGGGGGGCGATCGCCCCCATCGCCCCCCCTTGGATCCGCCAATGGACCACCCTGTATATTAAGGTTCCCAACTTACATTTTGACAATTCCGTATTGACTTATGGGCCCAGTAAAAAGCGCTATAAGCCGCAAGGTATGGACAAAATGCATTATCCAATCTGAAAATATACATACAAGTTCATTGAGACATGCAGAATTTTTTATAACATGTACAAGTAATTTTTCAAATGCCTATAAACCGTACGTGAATAAGCCAATTTAAAAGAAATATATATTTTGAGACAGGAAACTACCATATAAAAAATAATAAGTGTTGGGGGTCTAAAGCTAGCCGACTTGACGTGGAATGCCCTTTATATTGTTAGATTAATATAGTTCGGAAACTTCCCTCTATAAATGATCATGCAATACTAAGGTCAAAAAAATGTACCCACGTTAAAAACTAGTTATAAACCATCCACATATAAGCACATGATATTTGTCTCAAGCTTTAGTCAATGCTTGGATGTTAAGTTGTATTCTAATAAATCGTGTTGACCATGAGAAGCAAATTAAAGATTTTATTTTTTATTAGTATAGTGTACCCGTGTAAGTGATAATTTTGGTTTTATTGTGGTTTTATTGTGAAGTGTATTCGACCAATATTTTTACATTGTTCTTTAAATTTTACAGCTCTTCAGCATGCCATAAAAGCAGGTGGCATTTACAGTGGTGCATACAGTAAGTTTTTCACAAAATACTTATAAGTGTAAATGTATTTTAATATGCGTGTCAGCCAAATTAATTAATTAAATAATGGGGAATTATGAAAATGCGATTACTTCTCTGGACTTATTAATAATTATTTATATACTGAATTTTCTTAATAGTTAGCACATATGTTGTTTCTCACAAACTTGTGAGTATTTGTTGTATGCAATATTATATAAAACTGTTTGTTTATATTTTTATAGAATAAACATTTTAAGAAGTTTGAAACAAACATGTTTGATTGATTAAAATTCTTTCCAGAAATAGTAGGTGTTTCAGTGGAATTAATTTAAAAGGCTTATTGAACATGGTAATTTAGATTTTTTGAATGATTTTTTTTATATTTGATAATAACTAACTAATGAATTTGCCTAAAATTAAAGTAAAAAATGCAATTAAGACATACATTTAACTTTGAATAACTTTTGAACTCGTTGGTTTATCGAAAAATGATAGGAGACATTTTTTGTAGAGCGTTCAATTTTCCACAAGAATATATATGCTAAAATATGTTAATTAGTTTGTGAGCTAGAAAATTATAAAGAAACAAAACAAAATTTCCCATGTTATTTAAATGGGAAATAGAAATTTTCGATGCGCGACCTCTAAATATTAAAATTAAGAGCTCCGGTTTTCACAGGTGTCTTTTTCTTGGTACCGTGAAAAAATAGTTGTTTTTTTAACCAGCCTAATAATATTATAATATATATTATATACACAACCAATCTTATATGGAATCACCCAGTAACTACTGTTTTTATTTAACTTAAAAAAAATGACTTGAAAATAAAAAGCACCTTATTCTAACCAATTTTATTACAAAAAAAAGTTAAAAAAGATTAAAACAAATTTTGAATTGAACAAATAACAAATTGTGAATTTCTTTGAGATGTCTTAATTTCAACCAATCACAAACGCGCAATTTTGAATTACAAATGGTTTCTAGGTGGAAAAACTGTATGACAGCACCTGTCAGCAGTTTTTTTGAGTTTTCCCCGGCAAAACTTGACAGCTCGTCACCCTAATATTACAAGGTTGTATGTCATGTTTTTTGCACTTTCCGACTTAATAATATAACAAGGTTGTATGTTACCAAATCTTTCTTTTTCAAGCAAAACATAGATGGAATTACCCATATTAAGTAAAATATTAGGAAAATTACGGAGGTGTATGTGCTTTAATATGTTTAATAAAACCAACAGAGGTGTATGTTTAACATACACCTTTGTTATAAATACTTTGGAAATAAATTAACATTAACAAGGGTGTATGTCCATTAGGGTTGTCAAAGACATTTTGTGAGAATTTACCTTAATCACAAAAATGACACAATCAACAATACTTGTGTAACGTCAAATTTACAATTTGCATTGTTCTTTGTTTTTGACATACAAACATTTTAACGCAACTTTATGTGCTATTAAAGTGAGATTCTGAGTTCTGTGTGACATCTCATTTACAAGTGCTGTAATTAATTTGTTAATAATTAAATAATAAAAACATGGATGCCCAAGGTAGATCTAGAATATTACTAAGCGATTTTACCAAAGCAGAACAGTTCAAGCGTCCAGGCGGCAGTAGTAAATAAAACAGGAAAAAAAAATAAAAAAGTGATTTTACCAAAGGACAAACTAAAACGGCAGTAGTTAAAAATTTAAAACAAAAAAAAAAGCACAAAAACACAAAAAAATTGATAATCATGCTAATTTCTATTAACTGTATTTTTTTATTATATATAACATTTGTTTAGTAGTTAGTTTTTGTATTTTAAATATTTTTCTTTTGTAGTTTTTATTTTTTCAGTTTAGTTCTAATTTTGAAGTATACGGTAATTAAAATATTTAAGTTAATTAAAATGTCATAGTTCTATGTAACGTAAATAATCAATAAATATAATTAAAAAAATTTAAAAAGTTGTATGTTTTTTTCAAAATTTTACTAATTTTGAATATAACAACAATTGAGTCAAAATAAACATAAGAATTTACTAAGATTGCATATGAAATCAGCTCAAAGCAAAATCACTAGTAAAAAATATTGACTGTACCTAAAGGCTGATGGGCTTTTTTTGTTTTACGTTTTACTCAAAATGTGTAAATAGTAACATGCAACCTTGTAATATTAGGGTGACGAGCTGTTGTCACCAAAAATTGCAATTTATATTTTAATTGTTAACTGTTACTAATGAAATAGTCTTGTCAAATACCATTCGGGCATCTAATTTTTTCTGTGAAAAAAATCGAAAAAACACAATTCTAAGTAATATTTTTTTAACAATATGCATTCGTGCAGGTGCAAAAAATCCTCGTCTTCGATTCGGATTTTTGTTGCCACCAGCACTCATGCTTCTTGTTAAAATATTACTTAGCAACGTGTTTTTTCGATTTTTTTCCGAAAAATTAGATGCCCTTTTGATATTACCTACTTACAAATAAACTTTACAGTAAATAAAAATATAAATGGGGTTTTGTTAATTAAATAATCAGTATTGCAACCTCTAGCATCAATGCAAGCATTAACTCGACGAGACATGCTTTTTATTCAGTTATGAATTTCTTTTCGGGAAACATTTCCTCACCCTGCACAACTGCTTTTATTAGTTTATCTGTATTGCCAGGGCTATTTTGACGAGCTATACTCCTTTTTTAAACTTATTCCACAAGTTCTCAATTCGATTAAGATCTTGTGAACAAGAAGGCCACTCTAAAACAGTCACAAAATTATTGTGAAAGATTTGCTATGAATTAAAATACCTAGAGCATTATATACGTTAAAAAATTATAAGTTAAAAAACTGAAGGAAAAAACTAGTGGCGAGAAAGAAATTAATCAATTAAAAAAACTTAAATTATAACCAGATTAGAAAGACAAATGAAAAACCATGTTCTGCCACCAGATATTTCAAGCAAAATCTCGAAAATAAAAATGCTAAACTATATATAGTAGATTAAACCGAGGGAGAAATAAATCATTCTGCACCCGCTGGAGAATCTCGAGTGATTTCTATAGATATTAAAAACGGAGTTGGTTTTTAAAGACGCCTTATCAGACCAGATTAAAAAAAAACATTTAAAAAAAGCATATTCTCGTAAAATATAAATTTCGCAATAAAATAAAGAAAGTTCTACCGTACAAAGAGAATAAAAGGTATATAAAAGCTAAGAATAAATATACAAAATTCCACCTCCATAAATAAATACACGAAAAATCATATTTTTTGAAGTTAGAAAACAGAAGTTTTTACTTTTATTTAGCCTGATCTCTTGTGTGGCCCATAAAACCGGATATACAAAAAGTATATTTTAAAAATGTATTTTGTGTCCTCAAATGTTTGCCAAAAAGCGATTTATTTTTGATTCCAGAAGAAAGTATATTACACTCCCAATAATATAATAAAGCAGTTATAAATACATTTTTTGAAGATGTATGTCTATTATTTATTACGATATTTACTACGTTTATTAAAATTTTATCTAGTCCTCTGAGGACTCCTCTCCTTAAGAGTCCGGTCCTCGCCCCTTAACATTTCATATATTTTAAAATACAATATCATTTTGACTCGACTTTTTTTATTATAAATATAAGAAATTTTTATAATTTCTTTATTTGCCAAGATTTTTTCGGAAAACTAAATTCAAAGCGTAATTTTCCCCTTTTTTAGTTTTAAAAAAATATCTAATTTGAAATCTAGTGAATTTAGGGCACATTTAAACATCTTTTATATATTTTCCGCTAATAAAAATTTACTTTAAATTAATCAAGGCTAAAAATCACTAATTTATTTATATACAAAAAAACTATGATTTTATTTTTGTATGGTTTTAATTTACATTTGTCCCATTAAAAAAAATATTGCCCTAAGTAAAAAATTAAAATAAATATTTGCTTTAAAACCACATTGAATAAGCAAATAAGTTACATAATTTATAGCTGGGGGAAATATTATTTAATTTATAATAAATTAAACTAAAATAAACATTAATAATGTACATTTACTAGATATGACTTTTTATAAAGAAATAAAAATACCTTACCAAAACTATAATAACTTGATAATATAAGAGACTTAAATTATTAAAATAAGTATAAATGACAAGGAAGTGAATTATTTTATCCAACACCTGACAGTTTTGACTGTCATTAATAATGTCATTTTAGACAAGCAAACTATCAAATAACACACTAGTGTGTTATAATCCATAACTCAATGGAGCTCACGTTCATATTTAAAGTAGTATTCTATTTATTTATTACTATTACAAGCAGAAATCACATTGATATTGTCATATTAAAATTAAATGAAAACTCTAACGGTTTATTCGAATTTAAAGTCATTGTAAAATTCGTTGGTTTATTGGAACCAGACTCTCCCATATCGGTTCAGCTGTTGATAGTGCTGGAAGACGCCGACGCATTAGAACCTTGTATTTTTTCTGCAATTTGTATTTTGTTATGCACCGATTCTTCTAGGTATCCTTCTGCTACCGTCAAGGACTTACATCCTCCGTGACGCTTCAAAGTAGTCATGTTAGCCCCTGCATTGGCCAAAAGAGTCGCCAAAGACCTTCTCAGGCAGTGACCGTTGTAGAGCGCTGGCTCCTCCATTTTTAAAAACATTGCAATTCTTGAAGGCATCTTCGACAACGTATTTATTCCCACACACTGGCTGGTACACCTTCCATTTTTGTAAAAAACAAAAAAGCGGCTAGAACTAGTATTCTTTGGTCTCAGAGACATGTATTTTTTACAAAAATTGATCGGGTTGACTGGAAATCTTTCTTCAAGTATGGTGAAACTTCTCAATTTTTTGGTTTTAGTGTCTGGCAAAACTACGTGAAAATATTTCCCTTTGTCTTGAATATTTTCTATTTTAAAATTGACCAATTCATCGCATTTACAAGCACCGTTAATCCCCATTATCAAAGCCACTTTAATCAACAGGTACTCGTCGTCGGGAGCTTCGTTCAAAAACTTCTCTATTTCAGGTCGATCTAATATCTTGGACTTCTTTGGTTTGTATCCCTGTGATTTGCTTTTCAAAAAGCTCGTTAGTTTGCCATATTTTGAAATGTCGATTTTTTTATAAAGGTGAATAGTCGAGCGAACCATTGAGTATTTGGTCCATAACTACGATGGGGCTAATTTTTTTTTGCAAATGTAAAAAATAAACCAATAGAACATTTTCATCGATACCTTTTATTTTCCGTGAATTTATCCAAGACTCAAACATTTTGAACTTCTTGTCGTAAGCATCTCGGGACTATTCTGGCAAAATCTGCATCGCTGCTTCTTCCGCTTCCGTAAGGATACCCTCAGGAACGTAATTTTCATCGGTTTCCTTCATTTTCTATAGGTTTTTTTCTTCAAAAAAGCTTTCCTTTTCTGCAGGGAAAACTGACAAGTGTCAAAATTTATTTAAACATTTAATCATGCCCGTGGCAACCAAACAAACAACCTACTTTGATCAAAATGTAAAAAAGTCACTGACAAGTCATACTGACATTTGTAGGGTACTGAGACGCAAGTAGCTTTGATTTGATCACAAAGTTTATTAATTATTCTCATAAAAAAACGATTTCTTTCACTTGTTGGATAAAACATTGTATGCCACTCGTGTGTTATGTTTCCTAAGTCACTTGAGAATTTATAAATCTTTCTCGCTTTCTTATTTTCAACATAACACCTAGTACTATAAATAACTATTAAATATTTAAAACATTCTTATAAATTATTATTAATTATAAATTATTTCAATTTATTTTATTTTTAGGTTCTTCATCATTGGCATCCCAATCCTCCTGTAAGTTTTTATTTAATAATTAATCTATCTATTACTAATAGGCCTTCTTTTTTTAAATTAACTATATCATTTTTATAGCTTATAGTAGTTCATTCTCAGGAAGTTTTGGAGGAACAAACATAAATGATATTGGAGAAACGATAAAAGGTGGTCCTTATTCAAGAGGATCCGGAACTTATGGAGCTGCCGCAGGTGCATATGCAGGTGCATCAAGTGCTGCGGGTACGGCAGCTGCCGTAGCTGGGACAGGTAAGAATTAAATAAAAATTAAGCAAATAGACTGGTGTGACAAAAATGCTTCAAATAATGTCTAGGAGCTGGAATATCTAGTGGATGTAGTAGTGGAAAATGTCACTCAGGAAGTGTATCAGCGATTAAAAAAGAGGCAGGATCATATAATTCAGCAAATCACGATGAAGGTCAGAGCGAAGGTAATTTTGGAACTTTAAATAATAACCTCGTTAAAGGAGCATATTCCAGATCTGATTCTGGTGTTGCAAATAATGTAAATGGAAAATATTCAGGTAATTACAACTTTGAAACCTATTTTAGTTCAAAAATATATATTGAGTTATTTTAGGCTCTAATGGTCTTTCAAAACTGGGATGCTGTCAAGGTCCTTTTCCAGGACCAAACAAAGGTATTTACGATAGTAAACCAGCTTACTCTGTTCCTGCTATTAAACCTGAAGGATATGCTCCTAATCCAACATATGCAACACATCAAACAAGTCATCCAACTGTGGTAAAACCAGACTTAAGTGGCGGTTATTATGCTAGCAAACCAGTTACACCTACAGCTGCTTCTTCACCATCATGTGGACCTAAAGGCTGTGGTTCAGGTGGTTCAACATACCAACCAATACATTCTAGCAACGGTTCTGGTCCAAGTAATAAACCAGTTATACCTGTAGGAGCATCTACACCATCGAATGGTCCACCCTGTGGGTCCAAAGGCTGTAACTTAGGTAGCTCAACGTATCAACATGTAAATCCCACAAATTTACCAGGTTCAAGTGGAGGAATTTATGCTAGTAAACCAGCTACGCCAGTTACGATATCCAGCGGTCCATCATGTGGTTCCAAAGGTTGTGGATCAGAAGGTGCATACCAACCAGTAAATCCCAGTGATTCACAAGGTTTATACCAATCTGTGAATCCTAGCAACCTATCAGGTGGCGGGATTTATGCCAGTAAACCAGTTACACCAGTAGGAGGATCAAATAGCCCATCATGTGGATCTAAAGGCTGTGGTTCAGGTGATTCAACATACCAACCAATACCACCTATCAACCTACCAGGTTCCAGTGGAGGTATATACGCAAGTAAACCAGTTGCACGCATAGCAAATAGTCCTTCCTGTGGATCAGGATCTAAAGCATGTGCATCGACAGGAACAGGTCCACAATATCAACCAACTATTCCAAACCACTTTCCAGGTGCAAGTGGAGGCATTTATTCAAGTAAACCAGTTAGTGGACCCCAAATATCCCTCGATAAACATGAAGGACATAAAGTAATAAAAATTCACTTTACCGTTGGCCAATTCCCTGGACCAAGTGGTGGTATTTACCATAGTAAGCCAGCCTCGTCTGTAGTCTGGAATAATGGTAAACCTATTTCCAATGCCGGTGGAAATTATGGAATTGCTTCAGGATCCTACACTAATACAAGTAAGATAATTTTAATTTTACATTTACAGTGTCAGGACAGTGACAGGATAAAATTAAGGATTTGTGAAATGAGCACTTTTCAATTATTATAATAAAGTATTTTTTATAATAACTTAATTATTAAAAAATTATAATTTGGTGTTTAAGCTAATAGATCGACGAACAAAACTTTTAGTTAAAAAGTCTGCAAAGGTGATACAAATATTTTACCCAGCATATCTGGGTAAGGATTGTGTCATTTGATTGTTAATTTTTTAAATTTGATAGAATCCATTTCATCATGTACCTTAAATTAAAAAAAGGATCTTAAACAAAACGTATTTAATATAATTTTATATTTTTTTCCCCCGATTTTCATAGAAATTTATTTAGATGGCCTGGAAATTTTTTTTATAAAATATATTTATCTTTTGTTTATTTTGCTATAATTTCCCTTGTGGATAAAGAAAAGATTTTTTAAAGTTAACTATGTTCTCTAAAAGGTCTCCAATGACATAAAAGATGTGAATACAAATAAACCTATTTAAAATTTTAGATTCTGGTGCTGCATATGGAAGTGTTATGGGGGCTACATATAATCAAAAACCGTTGCCTAATAAACCAGAAGAAATAGATAATAAACCATATAATCCTACCCATGGAGTACCAGTACCAGTACCAGGCCCCATAATACCTCAAACTAACAACCAACCCAATCCCAACTATGTGTTTAAACCAGAATCTGCCCATACAAAGATTCCAGTAGTTCCTGGTACATCAACGGAAGCAATTCCAGTAAACAATTTACTGCCTGTTGCGCCAGCCCAACCAGATACTTCGAGTGGAGCATACGAAAGTGATTTTTCTACACTTTGCAAATACATTCCTCCAGGTGCTTCACCTGGTGCCAGTTGTGACCTTACGAAGGTATCTGGTGGTACAGTTGTTATTGGAGGAGGACTTCATGAAGGACAACCTGGTCCATCGCCTACTGAAGGGTTAATAGAAGGCAAACCTGCTGTACCAGTTTCATCGGGTTAGTAGTTTATATTAATTATTAATCAGTTTAGAAAATAAGACAACTCATTTTTGATATGATACAGGTAGCGTAGATATTCAAACACAACCCGGTTTATCTTGTGCTTATGGATCCAAAGATTGTGGTTCAACTAGTGAAGGATTAATTGAGGGTGCACCTGGTTCTTCAATCTCACAAGTTCAAGACGTACCCAGAAATCCTTCAGGTATTTAAGACTTGTTTTTTTATATTATCAGTTAAAAGTTATAACCAATTACAATTTGGGATGGGCCAAACTACGTGTATATACGAAGGTATAACTAACAGTTTTAACATCTGTAATATGAAACATAAAAGACTTTGAGTAAAAACAACTTAACTTTATTTTCTGACATTTTAAGGTTAGGTTGAGTTGTTTTATGTTATACATAAATTATATTTTTCTACTACCTTACTAGAAAACTTAATTTTCCACCCCCGAGCGAGGGAGGAAAATGCCACTTTTCCTCCCCGGGAGGAAAAACATTTTTCTTACTACCTCGACTGAAAATACGTTGTTTCGTCCCCGATTCCATGGCAGAAAGTTTACGTTTGATGCATTGGTCAAGCTATACGTATTTTCGGCCGAGGTAGTAAGAAAATGTAATTTTCTTACTACCTCGGCTGAAAATACGTTGTTTCGTCCATGATTCCACCTCCACCGCCCTCTATAATATCGCTCGTGCCGCAAATGTCGGGGCAGGCATCAATATGTTTCGATATACACATTTAATTTTTTCCCGTATTTTCGGCCGGGTAGCAAGAACAATAGTATACACTACACGGGCAGAAAGTGTGAGAGCCCTGATCTGCGCGCCATGATGCCCGAGGCAGGAATCTCACACTTTCTGCCCTTGTAGTGTAATATACTATTCCTCCCTCTTTTTTTTTAACAATTTTACATTAGCAAGAGTTTTTGTACCTTGTCTAGCCCTATTTGATGTTGTAGGAAAAAGATTTACTTCGCGCTTGTCCAACCATATAACATAACAAACTATAGGTATTCATTTTCATATCGCTCTTTCGATTTTTAAGGAAGGAAATTAATTGCAACTATTCTTGCCCCTTTAGCAAGATCTTGCGGCAGGTCTTCTTCGCTAGAACTCATTTTCAAAACGTAGGAAGATTTTCAAATTTATGATAAAAATTCTGACAGCTTATAAAAACTGTTATGTTTGTATTACCTTAGCAACAAAGCGTTGTCAACATAACGACGGCGACGCAACACCTACTTAATATTTTGTCATAATTTTATAGCCCCATACCGGGTTAGTAAAAGGAACCGGAACGCTTAAAATGTCTTAAAACCGTTAAAAGGTAATAGAAAAAACTATATACATACCTCAGGAGGAAAATGCGTTTCCTCCCTTGAATATTTAATGCCCTTCGCTTCGCGTCGGGCATCAAACTATTCGCTGGAGGAAAAGCACTATTTTCCTCCCATGGTATGTAAATAGCTATTTTTTCCATTTAATATTGATAGAGTTAAAAAACTTGCGTTCACTTTAATTTTCTCTCTTGGCACGTGAGTTATTCGAAGATAATAAAATAAATAAATCCATTCTCTTAAAACAAAACTAAAAATCAACATTATAAGTAGCAAATGCAAAACACAACTGAAACGTCGCCTACGGCAACCCGCTTACAATGCATCTGGGGAGGGGTTTCTGAAAGGGGCGTTAGGGTTCACTCGAGCTTATATATTTCAAATGAAAATACGGTATGCTCGTAGGCAGTGTTCATACCCCGTATTATTTTTTAATGATTTAATAAAAAACTTTAATTTTAATATTATATATTATGTGTTGTAAATTCTTACGGCCAACTAAACAACAAACTAACACAGACTACAAAAACTTCATAACTCAAACAGAAAACAATTTATTACTAATCCTAAACAATTTTTGTCATTTGTTAATATTAAAAAAAAATCTTCCATAATTTCCGGGAAAGAGCATATATGCTCTTATAATGATAACGAAACTTAAAATATGGTAAATGGTTTTGCTAAATACTTTAGTAGTGTATACTTCCCTTTAGAAACAAAGGATTAGAAAAGTAAACCTATTACTAATTTTGCTTGTATAAATATTCCACTTATCCGTAGAAAATTTACAAATTTTTTGAAAAAGTCTAAAATATGTCCAATATAAGTACCGTAATCCTGGTAATGTAAGTAATTATAGACCAATATCTTTTTTAAACAATTTTGCAAAGACTTTTGAGATTTCCGTATCCAAATTTATTCGCAAATCAGATTTCTTATCTTACATAAACAACATGGTCTGGTAGATCTACAGTAGCAAACTTATTAATCAGTTTATATCTTAAAGTTTTAATAGTAAAGCTCAGGTTGATGTGTTATATTCAGATTTTGCAAAGGCCTTTGATAGGGTGGACGAAAATAAATATAATGTAAAAGTACCTAACGTAAAATAAAACATAATGTAACAAACCAAGATATTCAAACAATGTTTTTAATAACGTTAGAAATGGGTTTCCCAAACATAAAATTTCAGCTTGGATAAATAAAAGTAAATTTATGTTTAGGAGGTTATGCCACAGGAAGTGTGGAAATTCAAAAACAACCAGGAGGGACATATAATCCAATTAATTTAAATGAAAGAAAACCTGGGCCACCAACTTCAATTTTACCTTGTACTGTGGGTTCCAAAGGATGCGGTTCTGGAGGATTAATAGAAGGAACTCCAGGCGCCCCAATTCCTGGTATTCACGACGTTCAGATTCCTTCAGGTAAATACAGAAACGTCAATTATGTTTTGTGAAAACTTAAAAGTATTTTTAGGTGGAGGTTATGCCACTGGTAGTGTAGAAATTCAAAAACAACCAGGACAAGCATACAGTCCTGTTAAGAGTTCAGATGATACCATTGTTTACCAGAATAAAGATATAAGCGGCTATTATCCTCAAGATGGACCAGGCGTGCCTAATGCTCCACATGGAACTGAAGTGGTATTTGAAGTTCCATCGACTCAAACTATTCCATCAGCAAACACTGGTGGTAAAGGTAATGTTATTGTTCATGAAGATGGGTCTATATCATTTTCGAATGAAGCATCTGAGGCTGGGTCTATAAATGTACAAAAAACAATCGGCTCAGGCAACACCGGAGGATCTTATAATAGCGATGGTGGTTCTTTGTACGGTGGTTATGGAGGAGGTTATGCCAGTTCCGGTGCAGATTTAACAGGATCTTCAAATATAAATAAAGCAATTGTTAACACCATTCATAAAGGAGGTTACGGTGCAGGTGGTTTCGGCATTTCTGGTGTTAGTTCCGAAAATGGAGGAGGTGGAGTTTACTCTAGTGGTCCTGGTTTTGCAACTGGTTCAGTTGTGATTACCAAACCAGGTGGTTCTTATAGTTATGGAGAAAGAGGTTATGCTGGAGGTTATGAGGGATCCTTTGGAGGAACCGGTTGCTCAGGAAATTGTGCTGGTGGTCACCACGATCATGTTAAAGCGGTATCTGGGTTTTTAAATAACTTGTTTGGAAACATTGGTGGATTTGGACAGTCAGGGTCATACGCCAAGAATGGTGCCTATAGTTCCAGTAAGCTATCGTAATAATATAAAAATTAAATAATTTATTTTTTTGTTTGTAGGTTTTTCAAGTGCCAGCTCCAATTCTAATTCGTATTCCGGATCTGGACATTATATTAAGATTTAAGTGATATTTTAAATTTAATATATTTTGTATGTAATTTTTATTTAATAAATATATTTAAACACTTACCTTTATCAATTACACTATGATAGTTCGAATTACTAACATTGAGTACGCCCACCTATATTACCTAATTTTAAGCTGCTGATTTCAAAAATGCCACTGGTTATGCTCCAGGATGTCTAGGATTCGAAATAATTGCGTTATAAAATGCTCTTCCCAATTATTAATATGCAGGGTGGAGTCATCGGTAGATAAATGTCAAATAGAAATTTTTTTGTTTCATTGTAGCCCACGGTGTGCCTGAACCTAAGGCCTGAACGAAGTTTCAAGTCACATAAAAATGACGCCAAAAACTGATTGCAGTTTCTTGTTCGGGACCCTTTGGTGAATTAAAAATGATATTTATCAAAATCCTAGCTGATCCTCTTTTCAAAATTTTTTGAAAATTTATGATTTTTTTTTAACTTTTGTTTATTTCAAAGTCTACCTTTGACAGAATACACATTTGTACACCGATTTTTATAAAATTAGAGTATATTATTGAGGAGACTTAAAGAATACTTTTTAATACTGTTCACATAATTTTATATATACAGGGTGAGCCAAAAATCGCTTATTTTTAATAAAGCAAAAGCGTAAATTCATGATTTTGGCATAACACGCAAAACGGATGTATCCCCATTTTTTTTTAGATATTTCTACGTTTATTAGGTTACAAAATGGCATTCTTATTAACCTTTTATTAAAAAAATAGATTTTTAATAAAATTAAATAAAATAACGCTTAGAGAATATTTAAAATGTTGTTTAATTTAGGCTTTTTAGAAGTTTTCAATTTTGAACGAAAAACTGGTTAAAGTTTTTTGATCGACACTCTTTGGAGATTTAAAAACGATATTTACCAAAATTCTAACTTCTTTTCTTTAAATTTGTTAAAAAACATTTTTTTTTAATTATCTGTTTATCGCAAAGTCTACCTTTGCCAGAGTACACATTTGTACACCGATTTTTATTGATTGCAGTTTCTTGTTCGGGACCCTTTGGTAACTTTAAAATGATATTTACCAAAATCCTAGCTGCTCCTCTTTTCGAAATTTTTTGAAAATTCTTAATTTTTTTTTAAATTTTTGTTTATCTTACCTTTGACAAAGTACACATTTGTAAACCGATTTTTATAATATTGGAGTATATTGTTAACGAGACTTGGAGAATACTGTTTTCATACTGAGCACATCATTAGATTTATACAGGGTTAGTAAAAAGAATAATGCACAAAACAGATTTATCTCCAAAAAAAATTAATTTATTTAATTTTATTCAAAATCAATTTTTCTTATAAAGTCTTGATAATAATCCCATTTTGTAGCCTGATAAACATAAAAATATCTAAAAAAAAATGGGTGGGTATATATCTTTTTTGCGTGTTATGCCAAAATCATGAATTTACGCTTTTGCATTATTAAAAGAAGCTGTATATATTAAATGATATGCACAGTATAAACAGTATTCTTCAAACCTCCTTAACAATATACTCCAATATTATAAAAATCGGTGTACAAATGTGTACTCTGTCAAAGGTAGATATTAAGATAAACAAAAATTTAAAAAAAAAATCATGAATTTTCAAAAAATTTCGAAAAGAGGATCAGCTAGGATTTTGGTAAATATCATTTTTAAGTCACCAAAGGGTCCCGAACAAGAAACTGCAATCAGTTTTTGGCGTCATTTTTATGTGACCTAAACTTCGTTTAGGCACACCGTGAGCCGTATACTATAGTAGGGATAATTAATTAAGCATTTTTCTGCAGAGAAGTGCTTTATTAAATACAAAAACTAAAATTATAATGTTTTTATGGTAAAAAGAATCATTTTTTGAAATTTTTGTGTCTTTTAATTACTAATTAAATTGAAAAAGCAACAAAGTAAATGGGTTTTGGTATAAGGGGCAAAATTTGCCAAGTGTACCAGGTGAAAACATTTTTGTCAGCGATTTTGTTTAAACTTTACTTATTTGTTGTTCTTATAACGAAGAATCATAGCATAAATTTTTTTTGCTCTAGGATTGTTAATTCAAGAGTTATGGATTATTGAAATTAATCGATTTTTTACTTTTTTGTGAAATCCCTTTTTATTTAAAAATTCATAAGTTCTGTTTATCTCTTTATTAAATATTTCAATTTAACCACCTTAAATGATTTTTTTCCGTACTTTTCAATGGGCTATACCGTTTTTTGCATTTTTTGAAACAATGTGTATTTTTAATTTTTTTTTAAATAGCATAAAATCGAAGTTTATTATGTTACCTTTGAATAAAAAAAAAATTTAGAGTGGGCCCGACATGTAGAAGGGAAGTTTTTCATATTTAAATGCCGCACGGTCTAGCCATCGAATAGGTAGCTACTACACTGCCGTATGCGTTTATACCTAGTAGATACGAGTAAACGAATAAAAAATGATAATTTAAAATGTAAAATTATGTTTGAGTAGTCAATAATGTATTTTAAATATTTACACTGCCGCACGATATAGTTTTTTTTATTGTGTATTAGTCCTTCGGAGGGGACTTTAAGCCCGCGGTCCGTTCCTACACCTAACCTGTACAAGCCATTCAGTTGGCTTATGGGACTTCTTAAGAAGTAAGGGTGGAACTAAAAGAGCACTTTTGTATATGAACTGTATTTTTTTGCACAAATTGTTTAAGCATGGATCTACATAGATTTCGCAAGGAGGGTCGATGATATTAAATAAAAAATTTATTGTTATAACCGTAACGGCTTGCCTATAAGCTGAATAGGCGCCATTCAGCTTATAGGCAAACCGTTACGGTTATAACAATAATTTTTTTATTTAATATCATCGATCCTCCGCGAAATCTATGTAGACACATGCTTAAACAATTTGTGCAAAAAAATACAGTTAAAAAACTATATCGTGCGGCAGTGTAAATATTTAAAATACATCATTGACTACTAAACATAATTTTACATTTTAAATTATCATTTTGTATTCGTTTACTCGGATCTACTAGGTATAAACGCATGTAGTAGCTATTCGATGGCTAGACCCGCACGCATTCAAATATGAAAAACTTCCCATCTACATGTCGGGCCCACTCTAAATTTTTTTTTTATTCAAAGGTAACATAATAAACTTCGATTTTATGCTATTTAAAAAATAAATAAAAAATACACATTGTCTCAAAAAATGCAAAATTTTGCAAAATTTCAAAAAAAATTGCAATTTTTCTTTGTTGCAAAAACGGTATAGCCCATTGAAAAGTACGGAAAAAATCATTTAAGGTGGTTAAATTGAAATATTTAATAAAGAGATGAACAGAAGTTATGAATTTTTAAATAAAAAGCGATTTCACCAAAAAGTAAAAAATCGATAAGTTTCAATAATCCATAACTCTTGAATAAACAATCCTAGAGCAAAAAAATTTTATGCTATGATTCTTCGTTATAAGAACAACAAATAAGGAAAGTTTAAACAAAATCGTTGACAAAATTTTTTCACCTGGTACACTTGGCAAATTTTTCCCCATAGGCATTACTTTTTGACTATAATTTGATATATTTTTTATTTACATCATGCCTAAAGTACCCAAAAATTTAATCCCTAATCATATTTATTAAGTCTTATCAAAATTTAATATCGAATTGAACTTCCCCAAGAAAAACCAACGCAATATTTCATTAAAAAATTTTAAGAGATATACCTACTACTTTAATTTTGCAGGAATATTAAATGGAGCTGATATACGACGTTTAATGAAAGATCAAGCATTCAAAAATGCTCTCAAAGTTGACGAGCTTGTCGCATATGGCAGTTTTAAAGCTGTCATTGAAAATGTTCTTGTTTCTTATCGGGCCTAAAATTGGCGCCAATTCATTGAAAAAATGCTTTCCGTTTTGCAAAGAATTATGTCATTTAAAATACTTTTTTTTTCATCCTGATAAATTTGCCGAACTGATGAACATGGAGAACGATTTCACCAAGTAACTGTAAATCTAGAGCATTGGTAGATATCTATGGGTATAGCGGAAAGAAGTTGGATTCATTGCTAGGAGACATTTGCTGGAATTTGCAGTAAAAGATGTGCGACGATGATGAGGATTAAGCACAATAATACTATAATCCATTTCGATATTTGATACGATTTAATAAATTTAAGATAAAAAGCAAAATTATACAATGCATTAAATTTTGAGGGCTTAAATTAAAAAATACTGAAACTTGTTAACTTTGTTGGCCTTTCAATTTATTAATTAAAATAAACCACAAAAAATGTCAAATAATGGTTCTTTTTTTACATAAATAACATTAAAATTTTTGCATTAAATTTTGAGGGCTTAAATTAAAAAATACTGAAACTTGTTTACTTTGTTGGCCTTTCAATTTATTAATTAAAATAAACGACAAAAAATGTCAAATAATGGTTCTTTTTTTACATAAATAACATTAAAATTTTAGTTTTAGTATTTAAAATGTCATATTGTTAAGATATGATCTATTTGTCGTATGCCATTTACTTCAGTACATTTAAGATAAATTTAAGCCAAAATAATTTAATAAATTATTAAAATACCAACAAAAAACTTACATTTTGTGGTGATTGAGCAGAGCATTTTATTACGAAATTATTTTAAATCCTAGACGTCCTAGAGAAAAAAACTAATGACAATTTTGAAATCAGCTGCCCAAAATTAGTAAAACTAAGCTGTAGTACTTAATGTTAAGAAAAAAAAGTTTCTAAACTATCATAGTGTTATAAATTGTTTTGAAAATAAAAAGTTAAACAATTTTTAACTGATATTCTACACACACCGAAAAAAATATATTCGTTGAGTTAACATTTGCCTAAATGTCATTTTTGAAAATGTTGTTTCAACAAAAAACCTATTGGATTAATCTATATTTTGGTGTCAAAGCAATAGTCAGAGTTTGTCAAAGTTTATTTGTTCATTTGACAATTTAAAATATTGATCTTACATGAACTAATTGTTTGAATTAAAGTTTTTATCCTATTTTGATTTAATAGCTGGAATTGGTTAAATCAAATACTA